CCAATGCATGCTGCGTGCCCTGCATGCTTATCTACTCTATTAGATTATAATATGATTTTTTAAAGATACGAGTATGTCTGTTATAAAGTAAATTATTCTGAACAACAACATTATGAGTTGAAGTATGTTCTTAGTAACAACATTATTAATTAAAACAATATGATCAATGAATGTTATGAAGAAAAAAGATCTGAAAATAAATATTATGTATTTTAAATGGTTCTTGGTAGTAAAAGTATTGATAAAAAAATTATGATTACTAACTGTTATGAGCTCCGATCGTAGTAATAAAAATGTATGAATAAAAAAAGTATGAAAAATAAAATTATGAATAGAGATTATTATGAACACAAATCGGTAGTAAGACAAAGAATAGGATTTAGAATTTTATGTGAGCCAATATAGAACCTGTTAAAACAGATAACTAACGGACCGGTCCTGATTGGGTCAGGCCTTCTTCCACTTCGTACTGGAACTCGTGTAGGGTTGGGAAGTAGTGCGCTCGGTTTAGGAGCCGCAGCAGCGGTACTGATCTATGAAGTCCTGGTCTAACACCTGACCAATAGATGGTAAACCAAGTATTATCTCACCTGGAGCGAAGAGAACACGACGTATCCCTTCCACGAGTAGCCAGGGAAGGCCTCCTCGCTGTTCCTGTATCGGACCGGTCCCGATTGAGTCAGGCCTTCTTCCACTTCGTATTGAAACTGGTGTAGGGTTGGGAAGTAATGTGCTCGGATGGGCCGGTCGCAGCGGCGGCCCTCCACGCGGGAGTGGCAGCGACACTGGCCCGTCAGCTTGTCGCAGTTGTTGTCTATTGAGCCGCCCACGTCGCAGTCGCATTCTGAGGTAAACAGTTGGTGAGGCGTTAAACTTATACACATTATGTCACGCTTGTTGGAGAGCTGTGTTCCTAACACTAAGACTAGGCGCACACCATCGATTTTTAGTTCGCCGATAGGTGTGCCAAGTCTAATCGGTGTAATGTGCGCACTTCTATACATTCCCACACTGATTAACTGCCCGAATAAACTATAGGCCGATGAAAAATCGATGGTCTGCGCCATTTAGAATCATCTGTTTGATTTATCAGAGTGAAGATGAGCAGAGAGGCAAGGACAAAGTACAAGGTCTAAATCTAAAATGATTTTTAAATTATTACAATTCCAATTCGAACACCAATTTACCTAGAATTTTAGACGAATTTTTAAGCGTTGTAGTTTATAGTCTTTTTTAGACTATAAACTACAACGCATAAAAACGAACGTTTTTAAACATCCATCTCCAGTAATGTATACCGAGAATGTAACACATTGAGCTGTCGGCAAGTACTCTTCCTGTCCTTCCTTCCCGTCGTCTAAGTGGTCGTACTCACCAGTACATCCAAACACGTTGGTGCTATCCAGACGGTAGAAGCCGTCCTGGCACTGGATGCACTGGCGCTTGCCCACGTGCATCTTGCACGCGCACTAGGGAGAGATACAAGCCGCCATAACCTCGTGAATGTCGTACTTACCAGTGCATCCAAACACGTTGGTGCTCTCCAGTCGGTAGAAGCCATCCTGGCACTGGTCGCACTGGCGCTCGCCCACGTGCATCTTGCACGAGCACTGCCCGCTGCGCGTATCGCACGCGCCTAGCCCGCCCAGCGTGCCGGCCAGGTGGCAGCCGCACTCTGCAAATTGAAATTTATGTCAGCACGGTACAATTCATTTTTCATTGAAAGCACGTTAAAACATTATGCAACGTTGGTCCTCTATTGGAAAACCAATGGCGGCTCATACAATACGATATCAGCGTCTCGTTACAGTCGAAACCATCATAGAACAATTTATAGCCTGACCAGGAAC